ATAATTATCGTATCAACCTTCCATTATGAATTTGAAACAATGTGCTTTATACACTTTATATATATATATATATATATATATATATATATATTCCCCCTTTGGGTCCTCTAATTATATTTAATTTAATTTAATTTGACATATATGAAAATGATATTGGATTCTTGTTCTATGATTGGATTTTTGGTGAATCTGAATTCAATGAGTGCTGTTGCATTCTATATGGGTAACTCATGATAGTATCTTAGTAATATTCGTGATAAGAGGTCGGTTGAATTTCAGGCCGAATTGAAGGTTGCCAGGTTGAATTTCAAACAGAATTCGTGTTGTTGCTTGCTGGGAAGAAGTTGGGGGCAAAATATACCTTAAGAATAATCTTGAAGAAAGGAGACGGTGTTCCAATATTGTATTTTAAAAACAATAATGAAATCATTATGAGAATGTTGAGGTGTCCTATGTCATTCTGTAAAGGGTAATTCGTATTCGATATCCATTGAATGGAGGCTTTTCGAGAAGATGATAATTGGAAAGCCTGAAAGAAGTGAATTCGCAGTGTTTGAGATTAAGCGTTCGAGCAGTGATTGAGTTGCATTGATATGTTTGAAAAATCACTTTGATCTACAGAAAAAATGTTATTTTGCAAGTCCCAGAAATGTTGATGTATTTGTTTTTTCTCAAGCGTGGGCACCCGTGTTTTTCTTTTCTTTAATAAAGTGAAAATAAGACCATTATTATTGTAACAGATTATCGAGGGGTTTCAAGTACCTAGAAGTTGATTAGACCTTTAAATAAAATGAGTCTCATCGAGTTCTAAATGTTTCAATCCCAAAGTAATAGTAATTTGATCCTTTTTCTTCTTTCTGATTATTTTTATGTTAGTAAGGACACGAGACATTTGAATTTCTTGTCTGCCCGATAATTTAATAAACCATGAAAAACGAGTTTTTATACGACCTAATGTACAACTTTATTTTGTGAACTCTTCCAGACTACGCTCATTTGTGTAGCCGCGGCTTCGTGCAGGTTCCTCCTCTCATTTCTTCTTCTGCTAATTGTGAAATATATGATCAAGTACGACTGCTTGGACGTAACATCGATTCGAAAGATGTTCGTGTTTATTTGTAAGTACAGATTACCATATACAACATTTTATTACGAAATTGCCTTGTTTTTATTAGTGGATATCTCAGAATCTTTATTACAATCAACCACAATCACAATGTCACTTTACAACTCATTCTGCTTTCCGCATCTACTTTTTTGGTTCTACCTTTGGAACAAGAATTTATGGGCGAATAGTAAAGAAATTATAAATAATGAAGGAGGAGTTGGGGATTAAAACCCAGGGGAAACCAGAAGAACCCCGAGAAAACATTATGTGAACCCGCTTTGGCCACCATAAATCTCACTAGGACTGACCTGGAATTGAACTCCAGTCTCATTGGAGGAAGGCGGCGGATTGACCGACCACCCAACATTCTATTTATTTATTTTGAGATATAATATACCTGAAAATAAACACGTTTTCTTGAGTTCCAGAATCCCTTCCCGTCATTTTAACTATGAATAGTTGAAAGATGAGTAAAAATTTAACATAAATAAATTTTAAAAATAGCAAGATAAGCAATATTTGAAAAAAAGTCATTTTCGTTTCCGAGTTATAGAAAACTTATTTGCATCAGTACACGAATTGCAAGTATAATTTGTCTGCATTGCTAACAAAATAGCAACTCCCCCTTACCTCTACTCTTACCATTACAAGCAAAAGGAGAGTTCAACAAAACCTGCGCATAGTAAAGCTACATTTACGTCCAGAAGCAAAACAACGGGCCATCGCAGCATTTTCTCAATGGATAAGGAAACTGGACAAAAACCTGATCGAGATTGAGGTCATTGACCCGGAAGCTGAAGTACATTATTTGTTACAAACATATTAAGTCTTTTAAAAGAATATACAATACAAATGTAAACTAATTCATTATATATCACTGTTAAAAGAAACATAATTTTTTGATTATGATAATCAATAATCATTTTTGATTTTGATAAGTCTCTAATTGTATAGAAACAGTTATGCAGCAGAAAACATTTTACTTTTAACTTAAATTTGTGAACATATTTCAATTGTTTAATGTCATCTGGCAGTGCGTTGTAAAGTAACATACATGTATTGTATGTCGGTTTCTGATAGTGAG